GGACCTGGAGCAGGTGTCCGACTATCAAACCCTCACCCAAGGAGTCCCCGTGGCGTGCGCAGAGGTGGAAAGTCTGTAACCTGAGAGGTGGGGGCCATCTGACTTGGCCATGACCGGTTTTAAATCCGGAACCCGGAAGTCAGGTCCTGGCCTGGAGGGTCAAGCCGGGTACCCGCCCTGGAGACTCCGCTTTTGGGGACAAGCACTCGCTCTCCTGCCCCTCGAGCCTTCGGGAGGGCGAGGTGTTGACCTCATGTCTCCCCGCCCTTCCGCGTACCTGAGACTATCGGGGACAGCTCCTGCTCAACACAAGCCCCAGGACTTAGTTCTCCAGACCCGACCCCACACAAACGACCGCCGCGCAGGCGCTCTCAGCAGGCCTCTGTTGTTCTCGTTGCCGGGAGACGGGATAGCCGGGCGCACTGACCCCGCCTCTCATCGCGAATTCCGCCGCGGGAGGCGCGCGCAGGCGCAGTCCGCACGCGATGCGGGGCCGCCGGGGCTTGGGGTGCGGCCGGATTGAGTGTCACTTGACCCGCTGTCCGGCCAAGTCTGCAGCTCCGCCCAGCCCTGCCCTTGGGGAGCGAGGGAGGGGCGGGAGGGGCAGGAGAGGCTTTTCTGGGGCTGCATCAAAGAGCTTGCATTTTTCTGAGAACTATGCTCCCAGACCCTGGGGCGTGCCCTTGTCTGACGAAGGGCGGAACCCGTAGATGCGCCCCGGGGTCGTCCTGCGCAAGATTCCCGCGTCCGCTGGCGTAGCGGGCGTGGGCCTGCTGATAGGCTTTGTTAGCACGCTCGCCGCTCTGTACGGACGGGCCCCAGGTATGGCTACGTACTCTCTCCGTGCTCTCCCCGCCAATACTCTTAACAGGTTTATATTTTGCTACTCACTGTCTTTCCAGGATAGTTTTTGTGGCCAATCTAATTATTTTGATATCATAATGTTTTACACTCACGTGGTAACTCTGGTTGTCTCTACTTAGGCCCCAGGAATGACTCAGCCAAATGTAATGATAATAAGTTAACGTCCAGATCAAACATAATCAGTATAACCTGGTTTCAACACTAAATGATGCTCTACAACTTGTTACCCTCAGAAGACAGTTTATTTGTCTTCTTCACGCTTCAGTTCCTTTGTGTAAGCTGTTTGGAACAGCCAGTACATTTTTTTTCCTGTAACAACTCAAAGGATGCATGTACAAGGAAAATAATGTAGATAGCAGTAGTCAGTTTTAATACCACATGTCATGTTACAGATTTTATATGTTCAAAGGAATTCCTTGGTGGGCCCTCCAGGCAGTCCTTTTTTTTTTTTTTTAAATTCCTTGTTTTCATCCCTCATTGACTACTGCCTTCTCCATATTTGCAGTTCCAACTATTTCCCACTCTACTCAGGGTCCCAGTTGTCTCAGCTTCTGGCCTGACTCACAGCTTTGCTCCATTCGGGCAAAATTTCCCAGCCTCCCTCCAGGAACTGACTCCCTCACTTTACCCCTGAATCTTGTTGACTTCAAGTTGTGCCTCTTCATAAATTCCTCTTTGGTTTTAAAATATGCTTAACTATCCCCTGCAAAACAAACCTCATTTCCCTTAACCTGACACCTCTCATGTTGGTCCCATTCACCATACATTTCTCCTCTTCTCCACAAGACTTCTTTTTTTTTTTCAGGTTTTTAAATTTTTTAAATAATTATAGGTACATAATAGTTGTATATCTTTATACAACTATTTGTTGTACCTTTACAGGTACCTGTGTTGTTTTGATACAGGCATACAAGGTGAATTAATCAAATCAGGATAATTGGGGCATCCATCACCTCAGGCATTTAACATTTCTTTGTGTTAGGAACCATTCCAATTCTGTTCTTTTAGTTATTTTAAGTATACCCTAACTTATTGTTGATTATAGCCACTTTGTTTTGCTTACAAATATTTTTCATTCTGTCTATATTTTTGTACCCATTAACCATCCCCATTTTATCCCTGCCCCCCATTACTCTTCCCAGGCTCTGGTAACTGTTATTCTACTCTCTGTCTGCATGAGAAAAATTGTTTTTAATATTTAGCTCCCACATATGAATGAGAACATGCAAGATTTGTCTTTCTGTGCTTGGCTTAGTTCATTTAACATGTTATCCAGTTCTATCCATGTTGTTGCAAATAAGATTTCATTCTTTTTGTGGCTATATAATATTCCATTGTGTATATGTACCACAATTTCTTTATCCATTCATCCATTGATGGACACTTAAGTTGATTCCAATCTTGGCTATTGTGAATAGTGCTGCAATAAACATAGGAATGCAGATATCTTTTTGAGATACTGAATTCTCCTTGGGATTTATACCCAGCAGTGGAGTTGCTGGGTCATATGGTAGTTATATTTTTAGTTTTTTTGAGGGACTCCACACTGTTCTCCATAGTGGTTGCACTAATTTACATTCCCACCAACAGTGTACGAGGGTTCCCCTTCCTCCACATCCTCACCAGCATTTGTTATTGCCTGCCTTTTTGATCAAAGCCATTTTAACTGGAGTGAGATGATATCTCATCCACAAGTCTTCATAATAGAATTCTCTACACTTGATGCTCCCTCTGCCTCGTCTCCCCCTCATTGTCCAGTCCATTGTGCTCTGGCTTCTACTCTCTCCACTTTATTTAATTGCAAGGCTACCAGTGACCTTCCAATGGCCAAAGACCAAAGCTTCATTTCTTCAACCTACTCATTTGACATTATTGATCATTCAACCCCTGAGAACTCTCTTCTCACTCGCTCCTGTGCCATCTTAATTTCTTCCTTCAGGTTCTTTTTCCATCTTTTTCCAGGTCTCTGGCATTTGTATCTTTCCCCCATCTGCCCTGTAAATTTAGATGTTCTCCTGAGCACTCTTATTTCTCATACATATGCAGTTCCAGACATTCTCTTTCTTAATGGCTTCAACAAAATACTGAAATTTCAGGTTTCACCTATGTTTTTATTTATTTATTTTTATTATTTACTTGTTTAATTTTTTTAGAAACAGAATCTTGCTCTGTTGCCCAGGCTAGAGTGCAGTGGCATGATCATAGCTCACTGTAGCCGTGAACTCTTATGTTCAAGTAATCCTCCTGAATAGCTAGACTACAGGAACATGCCACCGTAGTTGATTTTTTTTTTTTTTAGAAACAGGGTCTCGCTATATTGCCCAGGCTAGTCTTGAACTCCTGGCCTCAAGTAATCCTCCTACCCCAACGCCAGAGCCTTAAAATTACAAGTGTGAACCACCACACCCAGCCTTTACCTGTTTAAACGATAGCCGGCTGGCTGGGCACACAGCTCACACCTGTAATCCTAGCACTCTGGGTGGCTGAGGCAGGAGGATCATTTGAGCTCAGAAGTTCAAGACCAGCCTGAGCAAGAGTGAGACCCTGTCTCTACTAAAAATAGAGATTAATTGGCCAACTAATATATATATAAAAAATTAACTAATATATATAGAAAAAATTAGCCAGGCATGGTGGTGCATGCCTGTAGTCCCAGCTACTCGGGAGGCTGAGGCAGTAGGATTGCTTGAGCCCAGGAGTTTGAGGTTGCTGTGAGCTAGGCTGATGCCACAGCACTCACTCTAGCCTGGGCAACAAAGCAAGACTCTGTCTCAAAAAACAAAAAAGAATACCTGGAAAGCAATATTGGGGTGAGGCTTGGGCATCAATATTTTTAAAAGTTTCCCCATGCTGGGTGTGGTGGTTCACACCTATAATTCCAGCATTGTGGGAGGCCAAGATGGGAGGATCTCTTTAGGCTAGGACTTCAAGACCAGCCTGGGCAATATAGTGAGATCCCATCTCTACAAAAAATTAAAAATTTACCAGGTGTGGTGGTACATGCCTGTAGTCCCAGCTACTCAGGAGGCTGAGATGGGATGATTGCTTGAGCCCAGGAACTCGAGGTTATAATGAGCTATGATCAGGGCATTTCACTCCAGCCTTTCTCTAAATAAATAAAAAATAAATAATGCTTCCCCAAAAGTCCTAATGTGTAGCCAGAGTTGGGAACCCCTGGTCTAGCCACAGCAGACCATTTATACTTCCTCACTTTGTGGTACTATCTTACCCCAAGCTCCAGGAACTGGGAGCATTTATGGGATTCCAGCTCCATCACTTAGTGGTTGTGGTTGTGTAACCTTGAATTAAATGCTGTTTCCTCCAAAAACCCTTTCCATATCTTCCCAGTCAGAATTAATCTCTTTTCTCCTTCATAATATTTTATCCTTGTTACAGCACAAGGATGATTTATGATGACCTCTCAATGGATTTTCATGAAATTAAATTACCACACTACACTTTATTGTCTTTATTTGCATGCGTATTTGTCCTTTACACTAAATTAAAAACTCTTTGAGGGCAAAGATTATATATTATTCATCTTTGCATATCCTACAGTGTCTTATACATATTAGGCACTCAGTAGGTTTTGAATTCTATAGAGAAATTGTTTTTTTTAAAAAATGAATTTTTTGGGAAAGGTATAACTTCAGCCAGGTACTCTGTTATTTTCAATATTGCCAAGCACAAAATCTAGCTCACTCACCACTAACACCCTCCCCCCCAACCCAGCACTAAGGTTTTATGATTCTCTAGAATATGGGTCCTTACTCCATAGGGGGGAACTAGTGGAATGATGAATTTCCATGGTTACCATTGCAAACTCATATTGCCTCGCCAAGTCTGACAACCTGGCATATTCACATAGAGAATCATGTTATACAATATTGTAATGTATACAAGCAATCCGCAGAGGAACAATAAACACAGTTTCCTTCATGCACATTCTCAATCATAAGGGTAGCTGGATTCAGATGTCTACAAATCAACTATAATTTTAACCATCCTCCTTGACAATTCCCTTTTCCCAAAATAAAGTCATGCAATTTAGTCATCTGGCTTAGATTGACTGATTGAATTGTGATTCTGGAAGCCATGAATTATTTTGCTTGTACTTTTGCTTTATTTGTTTAGTTGAATTGTGATTCTGGAAGCCATGAATTATTTTGCTTGTACTTTTGCTTTATTTGTTTAGTTATTTGTTCAAGCATTATTTGGCATTTTCTTAGTATGGTAGACTCTGGTGGGCAGCTGCCAGAAGCCCAGAAGTAGAAATAACCTCCACTGGGATCTGTATCTCCTCTGACCCAAAATTTCAGGAGAACTGAAAGAAAATCAGGACAGAAAGGTTGTATGTGTCTTAGTCAATTTATTGATTTATGATGTTTATTGTTTGTCTCTCACCTCCAGAATTTAAGCTCCTCCAGGGCTGGGATCCTGTTTTGTTCTTAATGTATGCCAGTCACCTAGAACAGTGCCTGGCAGACAGTAGGCTGTCAGTACTCATTAAATAACTGAATGTATCCCAACTGCTTCTTCGTCTGTACCTTTCTCCCCACAAAAAAAATGAGAAGGGGGTGCCTTAGTGACTGAGGAGGGGCGAGGGCTAGGTCTGTGAAAACCAAGCCAAAACCCTGGACAGATCCCTCGACCCAAAGCTCACTGGGCAACGCGACGACCGCGTCCTGAAGTCCCACCCTCTGGGTGGGCTCGGGGCTGAGGCGCCGTCCCTGATTGGTCCGCTGGAGATGATAGGCAAGAGAGACAGCGAAGGAGGAGCCACGTTCTAAACTTCCGGGCGCGGCGGTTTGCGCGGCTGGAGGAACCGTTGGCGTGGTGGTCCCGGTTGGCTTGGTGGTCCCCGAGTGAACGCGGCGGCCTGTGGGGAAGACGAGGAGGGTGAGCCGGGAGAGGACCCCGGGGTGCAGTTCTTTTAGCCCTGAAATGTTAGTAACGGGATTCTGGCGGCCGCTTGGGAAGAGAAAAAGTGTGGGGAGGGGGTGGGACTGGGCATGGGTGTAAGGAGGGAATTGGTAAGCAGGCAGTTTCCCCGCAAGAGACCTCTGTGGGCAGTTGCGACCCAAGCTCCCCCGCCCAGGCGTCTCGCTGTGACTTCCCACATACGCCTTACCTTATCTAGTCATTCACATCTAACTTCACGGTCGAGGAGAGGTCGCAGTGGTTAAAGTTGAAGAAGTGTGGGGTGTGGTGGTCCTTTCTGATTTCAGGATTGGGGAGCCTGGAATAATCCTTCCTTTTTCTGCTTTCCTGGTTTCTGACAGGTTTGAGCATGGCAGAAGGGAACACCTTAATATCAGTGGATTATGAAATTTTTGGAAAGGTGCAAGGGGTGTTTTTCCGCAAGCATACTCAGGTATGTGGTCTACAGGCTCCGGGGACATACCTTGGTTATGAGCATGGGAACAAGAGACATGTTCCTGGCAAATGTAAAGTAGAAGCAGCTGGCTGTTTGGTAGAAGCATGGCGGAGAGGTAGTTTGTAGAGCAATGAGTATAAAAATGCTGTGCAGTCGGAAAATCATGATATAAATGAAAGATTTACCTGGTGCTATTACTGATGTTTTTCTAATAGTAGTGTCTAAGCATCTAGATGCTTCTCTCTTCCAAGGTGAATAGAGGGCTTTTCCCATTCTCCCAGCTGTGGCACATCAAACCAAGTCACATTTCTTGTAGGAAAGCTAACACTGATCAAAGAGATGGTATTTAGATAAACTGATGACATTTATGGAATTTATGTAAATGCTTCTGTAGCTGCTGCATTTTCTTCAGACCTCTTTCATTTCTCCAACCTTCCTCCAATTCTCCACTTAATTCCTTTTTGCTTTTGAAAGAGCATTTATCTTTTCCAGCTGAATTTTTTCCAATTAAAAACATTTTATCCATTCTAGAATAGGTAATGGTAATGCTGAATGAACATGGAGTCTGGTATTCCTACTAATAAGGAGTATTTGAGGGGATGAACAAACTTTTGGCAGCCTCTACCTCTGCTTTAATGTCACTAATCTTCACTCAACATGCACACTCAAATGCAATCTCAATTTCCCTTCTGCCTTTTGTAGGGGGGTATCGGGCTATTGCCTTACCAATGTGTCTCCAACCCCACAGATAATGAGTTAGGACTTTAAAACATTTTAAATATCCCATTTCTGGGACTGTAGTACTTAAGATTCAAGTCTAAATTTTTAATATATGAATGTTAGTTGTCAATGCCTCTTTTTCTACTTATTTGCAAATTATTTCTTCCTGTTTCATACTCATGGGAAGTACCTGTTAAAAAAAGAACTGCTAAAAGTCATTAGCTTTGTTACCAATTATGCAGGGTAGGTTACTATGATTTAGTAAATTGAGGTGACAGCTTTAAAGATTAATCACAGTTGTTGATGAAAAAGCATGAGATAGTATATAGAGCATATCTTTCTCCAATTTACAGAGAAAATTAAAAATGCAGTAAACAATGCAAAGAAAATGCCATCTTTTTTCCTTAATTAGACTATAGCTTACTCTTTATTATTTATAATTGTTTAAATATATGTTTGTCTTTACAATTGTTTTGTTTTGCTACATAAAATTCCTGCTTTTAAAATATATAATTCACTTGTTAACATTAGTGCCACTAAAGTTGGTATTCAACCCCCCACTGCTAAATTTGACTGGCTTTAAAAAAAAAGAAAATATATAATTCAGTGATTTTTAGTGTAATTCACAAAGTTGTGCACTAATTCCAGAACATTTTCATCATCTCAGAAGAAATCCCCTACCTGTTAACACTCACTCCTCATCCCCCCAGCCCTGGCAACCACTAACCTGCTTTCTGTCTCTATGGATTTGTCTATTCCAGACATTTAATATAAATGGAATCATACAACTATGACCTTTTTAGTGTTTGGTTCCTTTCACTTAACATAGTGAGTGAGTTTATCCATATCGTAGTATGTATCAGTACTTTATTCCTTTTATGGCTGAGTAATATTCCATTGTATGGATATGCTACATTTTATTTGTCCATTCATCAATTTATGGACATTTGGGTTGTTTCCAATTTTTGGCTATTTATGAATAATGATGCCATGAACATTTATGTACATTTTTTGTTGTAGACAGTGTTTTTAATTCCTTTGGGTGTATATAGATGTAGGAGTAGACTGCTGGGTCATATGGTAACTCTGTGTTTAATTTTTTGAGGAACTGCCAAACTTTTCCAAGGCAACTCTACCATTTTACATTCTCACCAGCAATGAATGAGAATGAGTTTTTTTATTGTTACTGCCTTTTTTTATGATAGCCATCCTCGTGAGTGTGAAGTAGTATCTCATTGTGGTTTTTTGTTGTTGCTTGTTTTGTTTTCAGGTATCAATAAATTTAAAAAGATTCAAGTCATATAAGAAATGTGGAATCACATTTCTTGTGGAAATGTGGAATCACATTCCACAATCACAGTGGAATTAAACTACATATCAGTAACAGATAACTGGAAAATCCCCAAATAGTTGGAAATTGTATAACATTTGTTTCTAAAATTGTGGTAAAATACACATTATATAGAAATTATCATTTTAACCATTTTTTAAATGTACAATTCAATAACCTCAAGTATATTCACGGTGTTGTGCTACCATCACCAACATTTATCCACAGAACTCTTTTCATCTTGTAAAACTGAAACTATACCCATTAAACACAAACTCCCCATTCTCTCCTCCCCTAACTCCCTACAGTCATGATTCTGCTTTCTATCTCTATGAATTCAACTACTCTAGGTACCTCATATAGCAACACGAAAGGAACTAAGACACTATCCTCTGGCCAATACCACAGTATCTCAATTACTGTAGCTTTATAGTAAGTTTTGAAATTGGGAAGTGTGAATCCTTCGATTTTGTTCTTCCTTTTCAAGATTATTTTTAGCTAATCAGGGTTCATTATGTTTCCCTGTGAATTTTAGGATCAATTTGTCAATTTCTGTGAAAACAGCAGCTAGGATTTCGGTAGAAATTGCTTTGAATCTGTTGATTAGTTTGGGGAGTATTGCCATCTTAACAATATTAAGTAAGACAGATGTCTTTCTATTTATGAGATCTTCTTTAATTTTTTTCAACAATGTTTTATAGTTTTCCTACATGGCTTGCAATTCTTTTGTTAAGTTTATTCCTAAGCATTTTATTATTTTTTGATGCTACTATAAGTAGAGTTGTTTCCTTAATTTCATTTCGATTGTTCATTGCTAATGTATAGAAATACGGTTGATTTTTGTGTACCACTCGTATATGCTGCGACCTTGTAAAATTTTTTATTAGTTCTAGTGTGTATAAAATCTTTAGGATTTTCTGTATATTGATATGTCATCTGCAAATACAGGTAGTTTTACTTCTTCCTTTCTAATCTGAATGCCTGTGCTTTATTTTTCTCTGTCTTGGCTAGAAGCTCAAGTATAATATTGAGTAGAGCAGTAAGAGCAGACATCCTTGTCTTGTTCCTGATCTTAGGGGGAAAGTTTTTAGATTTTCACTATTAGGTATGATGTTAGCTGTGGATTTTTCACAAATGCCATTTATCAAGTTGAGGAAATTTCCTTCTGTTCTTAGTTTGTTTAGCGTTTTTATTATAAAAGAGTGTTGGATTTTGTTGAATGCTTTTTTTGCCATCTATTGAGCTGATTGTGTAGTTTTTATTTATTAATATGGTGGATTAAGTTGATTATTTTTTGTATATAGAACCAACCTTGCATTCCTGGGATAAATCTCAATTCGTCATGGTTTATAATCCTTTTTGTATGTTTCTAGCTTTGGTTTGCTGATATTCTGTTGAGGATTTTTGCATTTATGTTTATAAGGGATATTGATCTATAGTTTTTTTGTGTGGTTTTTTTTTTCCTTGTGATGTCTTTGGTTTTGGTATGAGGATAATGCTGGCTTAATAGAATGAGTTGGGAAGTGTTTCCTCTTCTGTGTTTTGGAAGAGTTTGTGAAGGATTGGTGAGGGATTCTTCTTAAACATTTGGTGGAATTTACCTGTGGAGGCTTCTGGTCCTGGGCATTTCTTTGTGGGAAGTGCTTTTGATTACTAATTCAATCTCTCTACTTGTCATAGGTCTGTTCAGATTTTCTATTTTTTTCTTGATTCAGTTTAAGTAGTTCATCTTTCTAGGAATCTGTCCTTTTCATCTAAGTTATCTAATTTGTTGGCATATAATTGTTCATAGTATTCCCTTATAATTCTTTTTGTTTTTGTAAGGTTTGGTAGTAATGTCCCTTCTTTCATTTCTGATTTTAATAAGTTGAGCCTTCTGTCTTTTTTTTCTTGATCAGTCTAGTTAAAGGCTGCCAATTTAGTTGATCTTTTCAAAGAACCAACTTTTGGTTTTATTGATTTTTCTCGGCTTTTCTATTCTTTGTTAACTTCTCACCTCTAATCTTTATTATTTCCTTCTTTCTGGTTGTTTTCAATTTAGTTTGCTCTCCTTTTTCTAGTATCCTAAGGTAGAATTCTAGGTTATTGATTCAAGGGGACTTTCTTTTTAAATTGCAACTAGAGTTGGTCATTATATTCCTTAAAATATCAGATATGAGAGTAAGTGAGGGAGTGTGTGTGAGCGTGTGATTTAAAAAAAAACAGGCGGGGGGGGGGGGGGGTCATGGGGGGGGATCTCGCACTTGTAATCCTAGCACTCTGGGAGGCCTAGGTGGGCAGATTGCTTGAGCTCAGGAGTTCTGAGACCAGCCTGAGCAAGAGCGAGACCCCATCTCTACTATAAATAGAAAGAAATTAGCTAAACAACTAAAAATAGAAAAAATTAGCCAGGCATGGTGGCTTGTGCCTGTACTCCCAGCTACCCGGGAGGCTGAGGCAGAAGGATCACTTGAGCCCAAGAGTTTTAGGTTATTGTGAGTTAGGCTCACACCACGGCACTCAAGAGAGTGAGACTATGTCTCAAAACAAAACAAAACAGATGACTGTTTAAGCAGAAATATGGTTACCAGGTAGAATTAGCTTTTTGGAATTTTCTTAGGAAGAAACACTGTTTACTTGTGTAAATAGATATTTAAAACTGAACACGAATCAGCAACATTATGTCATCATTTAAAAAATAAGAATCAAGTCTACAAATGAAACCTGTAGAAAATTCCCATTCTCAACACTGGTCAAATTTGGGAGTGTTTTGTTCACTCTCAGGAGTTAAGATAAATAACATTGCAATTTAAAGATTTATTTGACTGTTACAACTTCCTACTCAAAACTGCACATTCTTGTATCTATTTACCATATAAGGTAACTCTAAGAACTAGAGATAGCCAACTCCCTAGCTTAATTTAAGCATAAAGTCAGTTGGCATGGAGTCTTCCTCTAAATCCATTCTCAGCATTCTTCTTTTATGCTGTCTTCTTTGGCACTTAGCAGTTCATGCTGTAGGTATTTCCTATTTTTCTTCATTCCTTAATTCCCTCTGTATCTCTTCTTAAACTGTTATTTGTTTGACTGAGTCTCTTGTTCATTATGCAAACATATCTTCATTTTGAACATAAGTGATCCAATGGATATTTTAGTTCTTCATCAAACATTTTTTGCTGTGCATAATGTTTTCTTTGGCCAATTCCAGCAATTTCCCACATTTACTAGGTTGGTACTCTGGCATTTTGACATGCAATCATGTTAACTCCCATTTTCTTTTATAATTCAACACTTTCTATTAAGATAGATTAATAATCAATGACTTTTATAATATCCTAATTATATATTTATACAAAAATAAAATTCCCTCTAAAACATTGCTACCTTTCCTAAATTCAGTCTTGCCACAGTTTAATGACTTAAAGGAAAGAACATTGAAACAGGTGAGAAAAGAGCCACTATAATGATTAAATGCTCTTCATAGCTTATTCAACCTTTAACACATTAACTGCCATGTGAGTTATATTTAACTCGACCAAGTTTTGTGCCCAGAGCCTCCTGAACCATATATAACTCACATATCTCTTCACCTTGGGAGCATATAAGTCACACACAGAAAACAATAAAAAATAATAACTTTTTCATTAAATTAGAAAGGATCGTTTTGTTTTTGAAGTTTTTATTCTATTTTTGTAATAAAACACTGTGGCCCCAAGGAAAAAAAAATTGTTTTTCTAGTGTGGCAGTCACTGTGTTAAAGGCATTGTGATTGTTTAGACAAATGAGAAGACAGTCAAGTGAAAACCTAATAGTTATATAGTCTCATGAAAGTTTGGTGTTCAGTTGGTGATCACCAACTGCTTTCCTTGTGTAGGAGTGTGACAGAAAGTGGGCTTTGGATACAACATAAAGCTATTGGGTTGGACAGTTTTTCTACACTGAGAACAATTAGATGAGTTGCCCAGGAAATTGTGAAATACTCTCTAATGATTTTTAAAGATGTAATGGACACTAATTCATCTGGACGTTTAGGTGTGGTCCTGATTAAAGACAAAGGGAAGGATCAGATAACTTCATGCTTTTTCTATTTAACAAACCCAACAGATGCTTGATTAGGACAAAAGAAAATGAGCAAGATACAGCCCAATATCCTAAAACAGTCAGCCTTAGGGGATCATTTTCAAAGCATCTGTTTTGGACTTATGTCTTTGGTACTTAACCAAATTTGCTTAACCAAATTGACTACATAGTGAAAAACTGTAGTGCCTGGCTTTTATAGAATAGAAGATAGAAATGGATTCAAGTGACCAATGCTTCATGCTAAGATCAGCAATAAGATAACTTCTTGCTGTCTTTCTTTTTTGACTGTTCTGGACAATATCAAATTAGTTCCAGTGGATTGATTCTAGGCAAAGATTCTGGCAACAGATTTTAGCCTTACTTTGTTCTATCTCACTGGATCTCTCTCTCTCTCTCTCTCTCTCTTTTTCCCTTTAGGCTGAGGGTAAAAAGCTGGGATTGGTAGGCTGGGTCCAGAACACTGACCGGGGCACAGTGCAAGGGCAATTGCAAGGTCCCGCCTCCAAGGTGCGTCATATGCAGGAATGGCTTGAGACAAGTGGAAGTCCCAAATCACACATTGACAAAGCAAACTTCAACAACGAAAAAGTCATCTCAAAGCTGGATTACTCGGACTTCCAAATTGTGAAATAATGGCCTTTATTTAAATTTTTAAAGATAAACTCAGTGGTTTGGGGGTTTTTTTGTTAATAGAATTATTGTGTGTTCAATATTAGTATTTGTCAGTAACTTATTTTAGTACCAGATATTTGATTGTTACTGTATATTACATGTATGATAGAAGGATTACAACTGTATACAATTCTAATCAATAAAAACACATTAAAACCTTCTGTTTAGGGTACTTTTTAAACTCTTCGGTGAACTTCCTTTTGGGCAAAATAAGAGGTATTTATTCAGATTCAGATTCATTCAGATTCAGACATCTGTAGGATGAGGATTTTGAGGTAATTTAAAGAGGACTAAAAGAAGTTACTTCAAATCATTTCTTTAAATGGTTTCTATTAATTTTTCTTGAGGAGATTGCATGCCTAATAACAAATACCACAAATTCAATTTGATAGCTGTTCAAATGATGTTTTGGTATAATTACTCTGGAACTTTTCGTTTTCTGTCATTCCTTTCCTCTGGGTAAGGAAGTCACATAAAGGGGTGTTATGTATGAGCTGAACTGAGTCCTCTTGAAATCCATATGTTGAAGTCCTAATCCCCAATACCTCAGAAAGTGACTGTATTTGGATATAGGGCCTTTAAAGAGGTGAGTAAGGGCTGGGCGCGGTGGCTCACACCTGTAATCTTAGCACTATGGGAGGCCGAGGCAGGAGGATCACTCAAGGTCAGGAGTTCGAAACCAACCTGAGCAAGAGCGAGACCCCATCTCTACTAATAATACAAAGAAATTAATTGGCCAACTAAACATATATAGACCCACCAGGCATGGTGGCGCATGCCTGTAGTCCGAGCTACTCGGGAGGCTGAGGCAGAAGGATTGCTTGAGCCCAGGAGTTTGAGGTTGCTGTGAGCTAGGCTGATGCCATGGCACTCTAGCCTGGGCAACACAGTGAGACTCTGTCTCAAATAAATAAATGAATGAATGAATGAGGTTAAATGAGGCTGTTAGGGTGGGCCCTAATCCGATCTGACTGGTGTCCTTATAAGAAGAGAAAATTTGTGGCCGAGATGAAGCTGACACAGGAGTTTCAAAGTCTGAATCAGAGGCCACCTCAGAGACACTGTTGTTTGGGCCACACATGTTGCAGTCTACAGGAAGAATGAAGGCTTTAATTGAAAATGTATCAAACTCCTAATAGACAATGAGTTGAGAAAGACTATCCTGGTTCTGCTGTTGGTTTGTGAGGGCTGTTTGGCTAGTAGAAATCAACACTATTTAGTAAATACTTGATTTTAGTATTCAGTGGTCTTTTTAGGCTAATTAGAGGATTAAGCAATAATGAAAGCACTGTAAGTTTGGTTTTGCTTGTATGAGATGGTCAGTTCTACAACATGTATATTCTGACACATTTTTAATGTGTAGCCAGGGTGTTCAGGTTTACAGTCTTGAAAACATTTGTATAGATTTCAGAACACAGAAAGGACATTTTTGGATGTTATTGCACAATTTTATTTTATTTATTTATTTTTGAGACAGAGTCTGCCTCTGATGCCCAGGCTAGAGTGCTGTGGCATCATTCTAGCTCACTGCAACCTGGAACTCCTGGGCTCAAGCGAGATCCTCCTGCCTCAGCCTCCCAAATAGCTGAGACTACAGGAGTGTACCACCACACCTTGCTAAGTTCTTCTGTTTTCAGTAGAGATGGGGTCTTGCTCTTGCTCAGGCTGGTCTCAAACTCCTGACCTCAAGCACGATCCTCCCAACTTGGCCTCCCAGAGTGCTAGGATTACAGGCGTGAGCCACATGCCCAGCCTGCACATTTTTAATTCTTAACGCTAATTTATCTGTACTAATGTTTTATATGCACATATTTGGATATAAAACAGTTTATGTAAAAATTAGTAATGAATGATGGCAATGAGGATATTGTTGTCTTCATTTGTTTTCAATCATCATTTAGTATTCAGTGATGGAATAGCTGGTATAAGTTGCTGGAGTAAAATATTTGAGATTGGAATCTTCATGCCCTGAACAGAACTTATCTCTTAGATTCTCTCCCACATTTTCTTGGAGCTGGGCTTTGAGAAGGAACCAGATGATGTGCACTGCTGAAATTCTGTAATGCTTTCTGTTAAAAGCAAGTTGAAGACCAGGAAAGCTGCTTTTGCTTCATTGCCATCCAGTGCTGAGAAAGAAAGTATAGTTTTCAAGTAGCAACGAATCAATTATTGAATTAAATCCCTTTTTTAAGTAAAACCCAGAATGAACCATCCTCCTTCCTTTCAGTTTAATAAATGGCATCATAAAGATGACTTATTGGTAAGTTAATACTTTTGAAAATGTCAGTATAATAGAGTTTTTAAATTTTTAATATTGGTCAAAATATTAACTTTATAATGAAACATTGAATAGGTGAATGAATTTCCTATAAATTGTTTATCATTGGTGAGAATGCTGTTCCATTGAATTATATTAACCAGTATAAACCATAGGTGTTGTTAGAAAGTGGAGGACTACCTTTCTCATCTAGGTCTTCTGTTAATAACTTGCTGGGCCGGGCACAGAGGCTCATACCTGTAATCCTAGCACTCTGGGAGGCTGAGGTGGGAGGATTGCTTGAGGTCAGGAGTTCGAGACCAGCCTAAGCAAGAGTGAGACCCTGTCTCTACTAAAAATAGAAAAAATTAGCAGGGTGTGGTGGCAAACTCCTGTAGTCCCAGCTACTTGGGAGGCTGAGGCAGGAGGATCATTTGACGCCAGGAGTTGGAGGTCGCTGTGAGCTAGGCTGACACCACAGCACTCTAGCCTGGGCAACAGAGAGAGAGACTTTGTCTCAAAAAAAAAAAAACTTGCTGTAATTGATCATATTTTTAAATGCATGACAAATCTTCATGATTTTCTTTCTTTCTTTTTTTTTTTTTTGAGACAGAGTCTCTTTGTTGCCCTGGCTAGAGTGAGTGCCCTGGCATCAGCCTAGCTCACAGCAACCTCAAACTCCTGGGCTCAAGCGGTCCTCCTGCTTCAGCCTCCCATGTAGCTGGGACTACAGGCATGCACCACCATGCCCGGCTAATTTTTTGTATATATATTTTTAGTTGGTCAATTAATTTCTATTTTCAGTAGAGACGGGTCTCGCTCAGGCTGGTTTCGAACTCCCGACCTCGAGCAATCCGCCCGCCTCAGCCTCGTGAGCCACCACGCCCAGCCAATGATTTTCTATTTCTGATAAACTCAGTATAGTTAATGCAAGAATATCCTACCATGGGTAAATATTTGGATTTTTTATGTAAACCTAGTAAAAAAAAAACAGTTATACTTTCGGGGAGGATTAAGAGATGGGAAGAGTAGATAGACATTCACTTTTAAGTTATTGAAAATATGTGCATTATTCTACATATTAATAAAAATTATTTGAGATAATTACATGGTTTGGTTATTCAGCTTAAATTTGAACTGTGGCTTATCTTATACATTTTGATGTTCATTGTATCTAATTGTTTTATATGGTTCAAAATTCTATCTTTAAAGAAATTCAGAAAATTTATCTGACATACATTTCGATCTCCCAAGAAATTTGTATCAGTGTTGAATTTTGGCCAGTTCTCCGATATAAGGAAGGTACTATTTTAAAATAAAGCAAACTGTTTTATTTCCCCTGAGGAAAAAATAAAAAATTTGGACACAGATATGTGTACACAGGATGAAAGACCCTGTGAAGACAGCCATCTATAAGCCAGAGAGAGAGGTCTCTGAAGAAATCATCCCTGCTGACACCTTAATCTCAACTTCTAGTCTCCAGAACTGAAAAGAAATAAACTTCTGTTTAAGCTACTCAGTCTGTGGTATTTTGTTATGGCAGCCCTAGCAAACTAATATAATATATATTATATATGCAATAATCAGGATTATGCTTCATCAGCCCTAGAAGATTGATTGGGTTTGGTTAGTCATTAAGTATTAATATACGTCAGACACAGAGTTTAACAAATTTGTCATAAATTTCAATTGTTAAAAAAATTTTCAATGAAAATGAGACAGCAAAAGCTGAGAATTGGTTAACAGTTCCCAGAACACTTATTCTCATCTTTAGATATTAGAAGATATCTAAAAGGTCCATGAAGAGAATGTTGGTGTCCTCATCTGTAAATTAAGAGGCCGGGCGCGGTGGCTCACGCCTGTAATCTTAGCACTCTGGGAGGCCGAGGCGGGCAGATTGCTCAGGAGTTCGAAACCAGCCTGAGCAAGAGCAAGACCCGCGTCTCTACTATAAATAGAAATAAATTAATTGGCCAACAAATATATATAGAAAAAGTTAGCCGGGCATGGTGGTGCATGCCTGTAGTCCCAGCTACTCCGGAGGCTGAGGCAGCAGGATTGCTTGAGCCCAGGAGATTGAGATCGCTGTGAGCTAGGCTGACACCACGGCACTCACTCTAGCCTGGGCAACAAAGTGTCTCAAAAAAATAAAAAAAGAAAGAAAGTGGAACTAGATAGTTTTTCAGCCTTTTCCATCTCTGAAATACTATAATTTTAAGATGGAAGGAACTGGATTTATTCATTTATAGGCCAGGCACTCCTCTTGGCCACAGGGATACAGAAGTAAGCAAAACAGGCAAAATCCTTACCTTCACATAGCTTACATTCTAATGAGAGAAGACAATAAACAAATACGTAAAATATATATTGAATTAAATGACAGTTCCAGCAAAGAAAAATAATGAGAAAAAAGGAAAGGGCAAATACAGGAAAAGATATAAACAGAAAAGTAAAAGTTACTAAAACCAGTCCTTCACACTATGCCAAAAGGGGACACGGTTTGAGAACTGCACGTACCCACGCCTGTGAATAGACCCTGGGGTGCAAGAGTGCCCAGGCTGGGAGCGACCTGGCGCGCGTGCGCACTGGGGTGTCGCGGAAGAACGCGCGCTCTTCGCAAGTCCCTTTAGAAGCGCATGCTCGTGGGCTCGCGCGTGCACGAGCCTCTCGCGCCAAGGTGCACGCGTGCAGCGTCCGAGGCAGTTGGTATCCGAGAGTCGATGAAGCGTGATTCGAGGTGACTTGGGGGGAAGCACGCGACAAAAAGATGATTCCGAGAGCTCTTCTGACACCAGAAGGGCCCTGGTGACAGCTGCGGGCAGCCTTTCGGAGCCAGACGCACCGGGTCCCCGGGAGCCCCCGCGGCCTGTGCCGGGCGGGCCTGTGTGTCGGAATTGAGTAGGGGAGGGCCGGGGTGGAGCCGGAGCCCGGCCGGCGCCGTGCCTAGTCCTGGGCCCGGGCGGTTCGTCCTGGTCGTCCCAGGAGCTGTGGGCCCAGAAGGCCTGGGACTAATCAGGAAATCGTAGCGGAGGGTTTACAGTAATCGGATTGCTTATGAAATGTTTACCCCTCCTTTGCTGCCGGCTGCGAAGTTCATTACCTTAGAAATCAACACAAGGTCTGCAGTTAATAGCCCTGATTTTCCCGGGTTTGGAAAAAGCAGACCTATCACCAGCGACAGGGCCAGCCCATGTGTCTCTCGTCTCTCTCGCTGACGGAGAAGAGAGGGAGAACTTTCATGGCCCTCGAATCTTAATTTTTTTTTTACTTGCAAGAAAACTTAAAATGAATTTCAGATGGCCCCATACCATCATTAGCATTGCCAAGGTAGTTTGTGCCCATCTGAAAAGACCAAGAGAATATTAATAAGGACCTTCTAAAAACTTGTCAAAGTAATACAAGAACAAGATTTAAAAATCAAATGACAAAGAAAGATTTCTACAAAAAGGAATTTTCCTGCTTTATCCTTTCCCCCTCCCAGCCTGTCTGCCCTGAGGCAACTACATTTAACCAGTAGTAACAATAATAATAATCTCTTAATGTCCATCTCTCCTTGATACAATTTGACTTTTTTTAATTTCCTCCTGTTGCTTCACCTTCCTTATTACAATGTCTTAGCACTTCATTATAAGTATTTTTCTAAAAGTCATGGTTATTGTGTAACATATAAATGTTATGAAACTAGCTTGGACATTTTTGTCATGAATAATTTCTAGCTAATGTTTCTTAGCTGAATTTAATTTAGGCATCTGTTTTTGGTGAAGTGGTTAGAATTTCGAGTACTCTCTTTTACGGGTCAACTTCAAGTGTAATTATGATTTCACTTTAGGGCATGTGGGATTTAGAAAGGAGCAGTGAAAATTATGAAATTACGAATGTGTCCTTTGGATGTTAAATCCATTGCACCAAGCATGAGCTGGGTGATCTGCCTAGAGATCAGAGGTATAATTTTGTTTTGTTTCATTTCACAATTTGGTTTAATAAAAGAGATTTCATTTACCTCAAATGATATTTCTTCATAATGCTTGAGAGAAATGGGTAATGCTGTGCAACTCTGAAGCTTTGATTGCATATGTGCATGTGTTTTTTTTACTCCCATAGGCAATTATTTCCAGTCAGAGAAGGAAACCAGAGCCTGGCATTCTCACCAGCTTTTCACCTGCCATGATCAAGTGCTTGTCAGCTGAAGTACAAGCCAAATTGCGTGCTGGCTTGGCAATAAACTCCTTAGGCCAATGTGTTGAGGAACTTGCCCTCAACGGTATTGATGCTGAGGCAAAATGTGTGGCTGTCAGGGTGAATATGGACACCTTCCAAGTTCAAGTGATAGACAATGGATTTGGGATAGGGAGTGATGATATGGACAAGGTGGGAAATCGTTATTTCACTAGTAAATGCAGCTCATTACAGGACTTGGAGAATCCCAGGTTTTATGGTTTCCGAGGGGAGGCCTTGGCAAGTATAGCTGACATGGCCAGTGCTGTGGAAATTTCGTCCAAGAAAAACAGGACAATGAAAACCTTTGTGAAATTGTTTCAGAATGGAAAAGCCCTGCAAGCTTGTGAAGCTGATTTGAGTAGACCAAGTGCTGGGACAACAGTAACAGTGTATAACTTGTTTTACCAGTTACCTGTAAGAAGGAAATGCATGGATCCTAGACTGGAGTTCGAGAAGGTTAGGCAAAGGATAGAAGCGCTCTCACTCATGCACCCTTCCATTTCTTTCTCTTTGAGAAATGATGTTTCCGGTTCCATGGTTCTTCAGCTCCCTAAAACCAAAGACGTGTGTTCCCGATTTTGTCAGATTTATGGACTGGGGAAGTCCCAAAAGTTAAAAGAAATAAATTTTAAATATAAGGAGTTTGAGCTTAATGGCTATATCAGCTCTGAAGCACATTACAATAAGAATATGCAGTTTTTGTTTGTGAACAAAAGACTAGTTTTAAAGACAAAATTGCATAAACTCATTGACTTTTTATTAAGGAGAGAAAGTAGTATATGCAAGCCAAAGAACGGCCCTGCCAGTAGGCAAATGAATTCAAGTCCTCGGCATCGTTCTACCCCAGAACTCTATGGGATATATGTAATCAATGTGCAGTGCCAATTTTGTGAGTATGATGTGTGCATGGAGCCAGCAAAAACTCTGATTGAGTTTCAAAACTGGGATACACTCTTGATTTGCATTCAGGAAGGAGTGAAAATGTTTTTAAAGCGAGAAAAATTATTTGTAGAATTATCGGGTGAGGACATTAAGGAATTTAGTGAACATAATGATTTTAGTTTATTTGGTGCTACTCTTCAGAAGCATGTGTCTTCTGATGAGAAACGTGACCAGGCCAGTTTCCAGGAAGCATGTAATAATATTTTGGATTCCTATGAGATGTTCAATTTGCAATCAAAAGCTGTGAAAAGAAAAGCTACTATAGAAAACATAAACACACAGAATTCTAGGGATTCAGAAGCTATCAGAAAAGATACAAACAATTCATTTTTGTACACTTATGAATCAGATGGCCGAGGCCATAGTAAAAGGACAGAGTCATCTATACAAAACAAAGATAGCTCTTGCTCAGACTCAAGGATGTTAGAACAAGAGACAATTGAAGCAACAGAACCAGGAGGAAATGAGAAACATAAAAAATCTTGCTTAGAACGTGACTCTTTAGAAAATCCATGTGGGACCTGTTCAGAAATGTTTCCAAGCCCTTTTCAGACACCACGTCACTTCGAGGAGAGTGGAATGGATCGAGAAATACAGAAAGTAGGTACCACTGTTAATGGCGTGGCTGCCAACATCTTCAAAAATAATAGAATTCAGAATCCACTAGGGAGATTTAAAGATACCACTGAAATGGGATGCCAACCTCTGCCTTTTGAGACAACATTACTGAGAGTACATAGTGCTCAGATAGAGAAAGAGAAAAGAAGAAAAGAACCTAGTAATTGTGGACGAATAAACGTTTTTCGTTATGGACAGGTTAAATTATGTTCCACTGGCTTTATAACTCATGTGGTACAAAATGAGCAAACTAAATCAACTGAAACAGAACAGTCATTTAAAAATTATGTTCGACCTGGTCCCACAAGTGCCCAAGAAGCATTTGGAAATAGAACACGTCATTCAGTTGAAACTCCAGACATCATAGATTTAGCCAGCACTTTAAGTAAAGAATCTGCTCAACTGCCCAACAAAAAATTTTGCAGAACAAATATAAGTTATGGGCTAGAGAAGGAAACTATCACAACTTCTAAAAATGTTACTGTTTTTCAGGAAGGTAGTAAAAAATCACACACAGGTTGCTTATTACCTGATACATCCTCTGCTTTCCCTTGGTATAGACATTTGTCAAATGCTAGTAAGAAAACAGATAAATTGATTGGTTCCTCCAAACCCATAGTGTGTAAGAAGCTAAGCTTGAGTTCACAACTAGGATCTTTAGAGAAGTTTAAGAGAGAATATGGAAAGGTTAAAAATCCTCTGGACATACAAGTGGAGAAAAATAATATTGAAGTCACTACCAATCTCAGTCCTCAAGTTGAACCTGACATTCCAGTGAAAGATAAGAGCCACTTAGACAACTCTGATATTTATAAAATCACTACTGTGGAGCATAATGATTCCAATAGTAGTCAACCAGTAAGTCACATGCTTTACTCAGAGAAGTTTCCGTTTTCCAAGGACGAAGATTGTTTGGAACAACAGATGCCTTGTTTGAGAGAAAGTCCTGTAATTCTACAGGAGTTATGTCACTTTAAAAGAAAACTTTTGGATCTTGAGAAGTTACCTGAATCACTAGCCTCTAAATTATCCAGACTGAAGGGTTCTGAGAAAGAGACTCAAACAGTGGAGGTGACGAGTCATTTTAATGAACTTCCAAATTCAGATTCCAGTAGGAAAGGTTTGTGCCGTGAATTAACCCTAGATTTTTGTAAGTTATTTAAAAATGAGCATAAAAAAACAGAGCGTGGTATCATCCCAGTGTCAGATTCTGTCACACAGGATAATTCCTTTAATACAGATGGTGAAACATATTCTAACAACAATGCAATAGACAACTCTGTGATTCCAGAAACTCCTTTGGTATTACCCTATACTACTAATGCAACAGAGAACTCTGTCATTCCAGAAACCCCTTTGGTATTACCCTATAATACTAATGCAACAGAGAACTCTGTCATTCCAGAAACCCCTTTGGTATTACCCTATAATAATTCTAAAGTTATCAGTAAAGATTCGGATGTTCCTATCAGAGCTTCAGAACAACAGATAGGAAGTCCTGACTCTCCCAGTAGAATGTTAATGAGTCAGGTAGAAGGTTCCACGGGAGACCAAAATGGAATTTGTTTTCACAACAAGGAATCTAAAGCAAGAACTTGTTCTGAAAATGAAGACTCAAACACGTGTTCTTTGGATTGGCAGCAGCATTTTGATGCAGCCCTGGGAAGAATGGTTTACATCAACAAAAGGACTGGACTTAGCACGTTCATTGCTCCTACTGAGGATGTTAAGACCGCTTGCACTAGAGACCTGACAACTGTAGCTGTGGATGTCGTACTTGAGAATGGTAAGTATATGGTGCTCGCTGGCATGAAATGCTTTTGAAGATGGAATAATAGGCAAGGAGTAAGATAGACATTGTTCAGAGAGGTATCTCAACAGATAGGACATTTTGAAAACCAGTTATAAAACACATGTGTTTTATGGCATTTGAAGATTCTCTAGGTCCAACACATTTAAATGTAGAAATACAATGAAAACTGATACAGGATATCTCAGTGTATAGTATATGTGTCTATGGGTATATGTATGTGCAAGAAGAAAGAGGGTGGGACAGTCAAATTTTAGTGAAAATAGTACTATTAATAGCTGGGAGAGCCATAGTACTTTCCTATCCTACTCTCCCCTCCCTCCCAAATACATAGCAGCTTTCCTAGAAATTTGTCTTTTGTGTGTTTAGAGACACGGTCTTGCTTTGTCACCCAGATTGGAGTGCTGTGGTACAATCATAGATTACTGCAGCCTCAAACTCCTGGGCTTGCTTAATCCTCCTGCCTCAGCCTCCTGAGTAACTAGGACTACAGGCATGTGCCACCAGGCCCAGCTAATTTTTCTTATTTTTTATCAAGATGAGGTCGCGCTATGTTGCCCAGGCTGGTCTTAAACTCCTGGGCTCAAGTAATCCTCCTGCCTTAGCCACCCAAAATGTTGGGATTACAGGCATGAGCCACCACACCCCTCAGAAATTTGTCTTTAAAGGCACCTGCAGGCTGGGCACGGTGGCTCACACTTGTAATCCTAGCACTCTGGGAGGTCGAGGCAGGGGGATTACTTGAGCTCATGAGTTTAAGACCAGCATGAGCAAGAGTGAGACCCCTGTCTCTACTAAAAATAGAAAAGTTAGCTGGGTGTAGTGGTATGCATCTGTAGTCCCAATTACTTGGGAGGCTGAGGCAGAAGGATCGCTTGAGCTCAGGAGTTTGAGGTTGCTGTGAACTACACCCTTCTCCACTGCACTCTACCTGGGGTGACACAGTGAAACTCTATCTCAAAAAATAAAATAAAGTAAAATAAAATAAAATAAAATAAAATAAAATAAAATAAAATAAAATAAAATAAAATAAAATAAAATAAAATAAAGGCACCTGCAGTGCCGGTGTGGTATTATCCTGGACTTTTCTCTCTGTGCTCCCAAGTTAAGGGCCAGGATGATTCTGTAATCATCCTAGGTTTCCCTGAGCTCTATGGCTCAGTATAATACTATGTTTATGAACTTTTTTCCAGAAAGTAAGACTTGACCATAAATTTTTCAACATATAAGTTAAGTATACACTTTCATAACTATACCTTTCAAATGTACTTTATTTCAAAGCATATGGTGATCCACTCGATCTGTTTATGGTATATTTATACCATAAATATATATAGCTGTTATTCAGGAAGATAATAATATGGCTTTGAGATCAAACCACAAGACTACGTTAGAGCTTGGACTAGGACTCTGTTTTCTCAGGTCTCAATCAATGTTAAAAGTGACATTGTTTTGGCAGTGTGTTGAGAGCCAGATGTTGGGAGATGGTAAAGTTGATTTCTATCTGGCTATAAATCCTGGCTTTGCACTACGAGGATAAACATGAAATCTGCACCCATGTTCAAAGTCTTGAACGCTGCAAAAGAATGTAAAGTGTATGAATGTCATTGTAAGTCAACTCATAATTTCTCCTTAGATGAGTATCTCTAGTAGGAAGTTCTAATTTCTTTAAGGTTAAATAAGACCTTTACTTTTCAAAGTTTTTTCATTTTTTTCCTTGTGAAAAATATAATCACCATAGTAACTTTCAAAGTATTAAATAGGAGGAGAAGGCCCTTTTCTTTCAATATTGCTCCTGAGACTATCAAGCTGCTCTTAAAGCAACTTTATGTGCTTTTAATCCATGTCCTAACTTATACTGATTGCTTATCAGAGGTAAATCTAAGGCACTGGCACCTCATCTTCCGGAAATGCAATTGCTTCTGATGTGGTGCCAGAAAGTAACTAGATTGCCTTATACTGTGAGGTGGTTGTTGCTAAAACAAAGGGGGGATCTTAGCTGCCATAATCACCATCGACACCTGCTCCTGTTAAATAAATCTAGATATTTAAAGTACTTTAACCTACTTAACCTTCAGGATTAGCATATCTTGTAGTGAATTTTTGAGGGTCACGTTAAGTCATAGTTTCCTAATGAAAAATATTTTTGGTATAGAAACAAGTTCCATGAAAAGATGGCTCCTCCGCACCCCGCATTCACATGGGACGTTACCTTTCTGGAAACGGCTGATGTGGAGCAGGACATTAGGACAGTTTTTGAACCATACATAAAAAATTTACATGAGATTAGTTGTTCAGAGATAAGTGCTATTGTACAGACGAGAGGATCTATAAAGGTCATTTTAAGAAATAGTATCAAGTCCCCGAGTCCTGGTAATTTTTTCTTTAAAATGTCTTTAACTCAGTTTTTTCTTTTAGCAGTTATAAACCTTATTCCACCTTATACCTTAATTTTTATCATTTTTAGTTCATCTCTCTTAAGTTTTTGTCCAACAGATTTGTCTTTTTGAAGTAACAATTTCATTATGTTCTGCTCCTGTTCAAAAGCTGTCAAAGTCAGCAGTTTTTAAAGCTCTAATCTGATCATCCTTCAGAGAGAAGGGTACAATTTGAGCCAGGTCTTACCAGACTTTGCAGTTTGAATTGAGAATCTTTTAATTCATTCATCTATTCATTTATTCATTCAGCATTTGTTGATCATTCACACCGTGCTAGGTGCCGTCACATTGCAGATTAACTGACTTTACTTTCAAGAGTTCACAGTCTGTTAGGGAAGACAGCTATCTAAACATAATTATAATAAGATAAATGTTATAATAGAGACATAAATCAAGAATTTGTGAAGGGTGCATCAAGTTATAGATGACAATTGAGTACCACTATATGTCTAACATAGGGTTTCTCTAGATCATTCTTTGCTGTAGAGTTTGTTCTATGCATCGTAGGATGTTTAGCAGCATCTGGCCTTTATCTGCCAGATGCCAGTAGCACCTGTCACCCAAGCTGTGATGATGAAAAATGTCTCAAGGCATTGCCAAATGTCCCCTCATGTAGAACTGTCCCCAATTGAGAATCACTGTGACCCTGTCTACATCGTCATTCTGTCTGGTATGATGGATATGGGACTAAGCATTAGTGTAGATTCCTAAGTTAACAGAATGATTTCATTAAAGCACCTCTGATTCTCAATCTAATGTTTAGTAGTCTTCCTTATGTCTTGATTCAGACTGTAGAGAGATTTTATGTAATTTCATTTTGAATAGTTTATTTGTGTTTTGATTTTAAATTCCTAGGCTTTTCTTTTTTGTATTTAGGGTTTCAATACAGGTGTCATCCTTTTAGAAGCAGCCTTGTTCTTCCTTTCCTTCCAAGAGCGCGGGCAGAGAGGACTGTGATGAGACAGAATGACAGAGGTAGGGGCAACAGGGATCACCGGGGCACTCAGTACACCCCCGGGTACCTAGTATACACTGCGCCACCTACATCAGAAAGCAAAGCAGGGCTGCATTAAGCTTGATCCGTGCCAGCTGTGCTTACTGGAACCAGGAATTCCCCACGGCCCTATTTAACAGCAGAACTAAGTAATTCAGTGCATGCATTTAGATCAGAAATTACTTTTCCAGACTTGAGGTCAATACTTGATGATTATGCATAGTCTGTGGCATCTTGTGATTGGGGAAATGTTTCTTATTTTTAAAAAGATTGGAGTTGCATTCCATGTTGTAGTAGTTTTATCTAAGCATCTAAGCAGAACTCTTTGAAAAAAGTTAGACATCTATTATTTTTCATTTGTTTTCAAGAATAGATTTAAGGTATAAACTAAAGGCAGTGAGGCTACAATTTGAGCCATAGTTTCTTCGGAACTGGACTTGTATTCTGAAATATCTCTTGTAAACAGTTCAGAGAAAAGCTATAATGCCAGAAGATAGTTTAAAAAGTAACTGATCGTGCCAGGCGCGGTGGCTCACGCCTGTAATCCTAGCACTCTGGGAGGCTGAGGCGGGCGGATTGCTCAAGGTCAGGAGTCGAAACCAGCCTGAGCAAGAGCAAGACTCACTCTACTATAAAAATAGAAAGAAATTAATTGGCCAACTAATATATATATAAAATTAGCCGGGCATGGTGGTGCATGCCTGTAGTCCCAGCTACTCGGGAGGGCTGAGGCAGAAGGATTGTTGAGCCCAGGAGTTTTGAGGTTGCTGTGAGCTAGGCTGACGCCACGGCACTCACTCTAGCCTGGTCAACAAGCGAGACTCTGTCTCAAAAAAAAAAAAAAAAAAGTAACTGATCGAAACAATTTAGAGATACAGCAAACACTGAACATTTCTAGAATATAGGAACAAGCATCTGATCTTTGATCTTGAGGCTGCAGCTCACCAAACAGGAGATGCCATTCCCTGTTTGCCCTGGGGCTTTTGATGCCAACTTTACCTGTCTCCTTTTGCCCTAGATACAGTGGATGTCGCTGTTGGTAGTGGATCACTTCAGTCTTTATTCTCAGAATGGGACAATCCAGTATTTGCCCGTTATCCAGAGGTGGGTCTATGGCAATTTTTCTTTGCCTGTTAAGATGTTGGGAGATGGTAAAGTTGATTTCTATCTGGCTATAAATCCTGGCTTTGCACTACGAGGATAAACATGAAATCTGCACCCATGTTCAAAGTCTTGAACGCTGCAAAAGAATGTAAAGTGTATGAATGTCATTGTAAGTCAACTCATAATTTACCAACAGCGACATCCACTTGTATCTAGGGCAAAAGGGAGACAGGTAAAGTTGGCATCAAAAGCCCCAGGCAAACAGGGAATGGCATCTCCTGTTTGGTGAGCTGCAGCCTCAAGATCAAAGATCAGATGCTTGTTCCTATATTCTAGAAATGTTCAGTGTTTGCTGTATCTCTAAATTGTTTCGATCAGTTATTTTTTTTTTTTTTTTTTGAGAGAGTCTCGCTTGTTGACCAGGCTAGAGTGAGTGCAGTGGCGTCAGCTAGATCC